AGAAACAATTACAGATGGTGAATTTCAAGATTATCGATTTAAAAGTGAACGTTTTTAGGATGAGAAGCAACTTTTGACAAATCTCCATGAAAGGCAATACTACTACTATTACCGCTAGCGACACTTGAATGATATTGTTTCTGATGTTCTAATGACAGAGTCACTGATCTCTGCGGATGTTGCTGCAGTAGTTTCATGGATGATGACGGCAACATTTCTAACTGTCTGGAAGTTGGAAGACTTCGACTACAAGCATGAGGCATATTTATGCGATACAATGATACTGATCTACTAGAAGAATCGACGTGAATGCCGCTTTTAATCTGCAACATAAATATGTAAGTAAAAAACGAATAACTATTTATGCCCAAATTTACCCAATAAAAAGATTGCACCGTCCGCTTCCACAGTGAATTCATACAAAACTAAATTTAAAGTTAATACAAACATCTGCATATAAATAAAATATACTTACAGATCTAACTTTTTTGCACAACTGCAACAAACTGCTGTACCAAAAAAATAATTACTGGTCTTTCATGAACAAGAATTGAGATGCATGAAAATCTTTCATAATTTCTTACTTGTTCCTTGTCACGAGCTTGAGTTGGCCGACTAGGACGCACATAATGAGTGCGCAAAGAACGTCGACGAACAACACCACCAGCCATAGATGATGCTAAGGGTTTTACTGGCTGTGATAGAGAAGCAAATTGTCTAGAAGTACATGCTGAAGACACACTAATATCGGGTTCACATGACTTCTATAAAAGTTGTAAAAGATAACCGCATCATTTTCAATATTATTTAATTTTTAAAAAAGTCGGCTTTTTTCGCACTTTCGAAATGAAAAAATATATCCGTCACTTATATTATCAATATTATCACAATTTATAAACTTTTGAAGAAAAATTGCTTTTCTTAGTGAAATGAAACCCAGTTTTTCAGAGAGTAACTTTCATTAAAAAGCTAAAAATTACTAATCTTACTAAGAGTAATGCAATTCTACTGTTTAAGATAATACCTACCAGTAATGGCAGTTTTCGAGTAATATTAACAATATATTCATCAGTACTTTCCAGATCACTTGGATGTCCTTCCGATGCATTCATTGCTGAGCCAATATATTGCGAGTGTGGTCGAAGCATATTCGTAGAACTTAATCCTGATATTTCACTATCTGCTGTTGGGGGTGCAGGCAAAAGAAACCTGGATACAGCACAAAAATCTATTCGAAATGCTAGCTCACAAAAATTAATTTGCATGCTTAGAGTAGTTGAAACAAGTGGTTCTGAAAATTTATCACGAACTACTCTCCCTGCCTAAGCACTAGTAAAATTTTTCTTTCATTAGTAGCACTACTGAAAATGAATTGTTTTACCACTCAGATCGTGTTCGCATACGTCTTGTTTGTCTTTCATGTACCCATTCAAGATAAGTGAGAGAATGTGAACTTTCTAACGATTCACCACTACGAAAAACAGTAAGCGAATACTTTTCGTCATTATCACGACTGCCACTGGGAGAAATTTGTACCTTCAACTAGCATTACAAATACTACCGTTGTTTGAAAAGCAATGTAAGATATAAAAGAAATTTCAATAAAATGACACGACAGAAAAGTTTCAAAAATAAAAATTACAACAAGATAACTTTGAAATAATCTTAGATAGCAGAACTGAGAACTTTTAATAATAATGTCGTGATGGAAAGTAACTTCAACTTTAGTAAAGTTATTAAGATAAGAAATGTGAAATCATCACACATTATTGATTCAACAATATCTGGAAGGCAATTTCATAATAGAAAAATTCACATTCTAACAATTTCTTTTGAGCAAACCTAACCCATCCTCAACGACCATATATAGTTAAAAAGTTCTTTACTTCTCCGGCTGAGCTACTCAGGCGTTTGCATATTAACGCGCGATGAATGGCTGATCCGCTTTGTCGATAGGAGCATCGTCGGAAACTTTGCTTTTCAACATCACCACATGCGCTTCTATCAGTGTGTACGACCACTACATCAGGATGACTGAACGATTCCAGCAGAACTGTGAATTAAAAACGTTATTTAGAGCTATCCATGAAATGCATATCAATGCATTGCAAGAACAATCAAAATTAACCCAAACACATTGAAATGGCTTCGTTATGAGCTAAAAAGAGTTTTTACAAGGAATTATTCTTTTTCTTCAATAAGAGCCATGCAACCACAGCCTTTGTGCTTACTCAAGCATATGCATAAATAACCTTCTACATTATATTAGAGATCAAGACATCACATTTCCTCATCTCCCAAATATTTTAATTGCATCATGGAACGACGAACTTTATTTGGAAAAGAACAGGTAGATACAGAAACTAAAATACGAAACCACTGTATTATGTGCTCAACATCTAACGCTTCACATTTTACTCCTAAAGTGGACCAAAAGTTCCGTTCAGAGGAAGCAGTCAAATATTAAAACAAATAAGCATTTAATTCAACAGGAAAAGAAAATAATGTTCTGTGAACTTCGCCCGACTCACTAGCTGTTTTTACCACATTTAAAAAATAGTGACTCTTGAGAAGCATTACTGACTAACGTCCAAAACTAACTCATGTTTCTCAAGTGATTGGATCTGTTACAAAATCTAAACTGTACTAACACAGACATAATGCAAATTGAATTATGAGGCCATAAATAACACTACCCCGTAATGAATAATCACTCATTTTAGAATGAAAACATTAACTGGATACTTGGCTCATCTATTTTATTCACCAATTATTTTCCAAATGATAAGTATAGATATATGGGCAGTAGTAATCCTGTGTTAATATAAGACAAACATGTTAGAAATCAGCACAAATTATAGTAAACGTCAATAAATCTCAGCAATATGAGCATACATAGTAATGTAAGTGCAAGCAAAATCATAAAGCTTTCACAACCACAAATGGAAAAAATCCATATAAGGGATACAGCTGACACGCATTCATGAAGTGACACCATTTTTACTTATGATAGATTATTTGACAATGCAAGTGAATAAGATCAACTATGTTTGAGCTAGAAGCAAGTAGATAGTCGGGTTGTCTTACGAAGAGATTAACATTTGGGACTGGTAGGCAGTATAAGATGGCTCAGACTTACACTTTCTATTCATTAAGGCTACAAGATGAGATTACAATGAGTGCACATAATAGATGTGACAGCTTCTGTATGCGACAGCAAGATTAAACTAGACAAAGACCAAGACACAACTGCACCTGCATATGACTCCAGTATGATCACTGCTGTTGATTGCTATTGATCATTACAGATCGAACCATGAAATAATACTTTTACGATGCTCAAGAAAATCTAGCCGTTACCTGAAGTAATCACCATTGATTATGTTACAGAAGGTCACTCAACATTAATGCGGCAATGCTAGAATAGCCAGTTCTTATATCTTCCTTTTTGGGTATTTTTTACTTAAAGCAATTGCCATCTAACCATATAAACACAATCTTCATACTTCAACAAAGATTTATAAGCTTAATAGGAAAATATTCAAATAGATCATAACTAAAGGTACATTCAAGTCATCTCTTCTAAATATCTCAACAGTATTCCTTACTTTTGATCTATGTGCGCAACAAAACAGTGCGATGGCTTCATGTGCCATGTAGTCCATCAATGAAATGACTACTAGAATGCACAGTAAAAACGATTTAGCAATAGGTGAAACTGACAAGAAGTGCTGGACTACAAAAAAATAGACACTTCTAACACTACCGCTACAAGCAGCTATAACAGAAACAGACATGATAAAAAAAGACTTTGAAATAAATGCATATTCAATGGCAATAGTAATGATAATAATGAAAATATACTTAGAATATAGCTACATTATTGATGCGAGACTGATAATATCTTCAGAATGACATAAAGACAATGAACAAAACACGAATGACGAATTAAGAATGAAAATGAGTTAGAGAGGCTGTACAATGCAACTTGTACAAACCAATGAACACCGTTTTGAATAATGAGAGTTGTAAAACATCTGCAGCTCTACACAGGAGTACTCTATTTCACATCGATGAAACTGATCAATCGTGAAAAAAATTCTAGGAACAACTTGGAACAACATTTACAATGGAAAACCTGCACTCGGTTCCAAGATTGTTACTTTTGTTAAATTTATTGAAAGCTTCTTGGAAACGAATCATGTGAACTAGTTTCATAAGAAAAAAACCAAACATAAAAAACTGCGTAAAATAGATTCACTTGAACCAGTGAATTTATTTTATGCAGTTTATATATATATATGTTATAATGCAAATCTTTCATTCCAAGAGCTTTACAAGATATGGATTGGGAAAATGAAACTTCCACTACACGCTTTTCATGTATTCCAATCAATCACGAAAATATTAACCAACTGAATAAATGTAACAGAAATTTCAGAGCAAAAAACTTTGCGTGCACACTAACTGAAATTTAATGAATAGCTTTCAGCTCCAAGCATGATCAGCTGCTAGAAATTAGTTAACATGTAAGACATCTTATATTTTCCTACTTCAAGCATTACTATTACTTAATAATTTCAGTTTCATGGAAGAATGAAACAATTGTAAAAACAAGAAACAAGCAATTAAGACTTGATTAATTTTTGTGATGGCAAAATTAGACACTACAGTGGGAATGAAGAAGCAAAAACAGTAGGGCCATCTCAAAAATCACAACTCCCTGAACTGTTTAGCTCCAAATCCGAAATAGTCAAAACTTGAGTATTTCGAGAATGATTGGAAACTGACTGATGTACACAAGAGTTCGCAACAGTTAAACTATTTGAAGGCCCCAAAACAGATTTCGTGCTTTTGCAAGTCGGTCGATCGTCAGCAATCACTGCAACAGTGATATGCTGAGAACCAGTGTCGGAAAATGTCTGTCCAGAGTCTGCTATGACTGTATACGGATAACTAACAGTTCGTTGCTGAGGTCGCAAACTTATAGTAGATATTAATGAACTAGGTTTGTCCTCATTATCATTCATATCAACATCAAAGGAAAGACATGGTCTAGAAATCTGTCGATGCAACGTTCTCTCTTTAGTATAACTGTTATTTTTTTCTGTTTCTCCATTTCTGAAGCAACCAATTTTACTAACAGCTTGCATAATTTTAGCATGTTGATGATTAGCGGAGCGCCTACCACAGTTAGTACTAATGCGATCGATTGTAGCAACAGTATTCATTGAATAACTTCCAGCACATTGGACAACCATCATTGAATAAGCGTTAGGTAATGGTACCGGCCATTCTGGTGCATCTAAAAGAAGCATTAAACAACAATCAAACAAGAATGAGAAAACATCCGTCATACCAAAATCTGTGGATCTGAAAACAATCTGTTAAAACACAGCAACAATCAAATTTTCGTTCATATGTGCCAGATGAAGCTGGATTAAGAATTAATGTCATCAGCATCTGTTGACAATTCGAACAATCTGGTAAAGTACTTGCAAATCATTGCATGAGCTGCTGTTTACATTCATAATAAATCTTCATGGCATCCAAAACACTCTATTCAACATGCATCAGTCATCTCCAGATTTGTTATAAACGTGAGCGCACAAAATTCACAAGTCAAAGCAACTGTTCATATTTGCATTAACATGCCAAATGTTATTCTTAAAATAATTAAAATGTTACAGGAGTAATTTAGTGTGTTAGTGAAAAATATTCGACCATGCTTTGCCCACCAAGCCAGCAAAACATGAAATTCAAATAAAATACAAATTTTTGCCACCACAAGTTTCAGCACTTCCAGTAATTTAAGATTATAATTCTGGCCAAATTTTTAAAACTATTAAATTATCTCCCTTTGCCCCATTTTCATAAAAATAAACATTGCTTTGGTTTCTAAAATATATACATACTTGGCGAAATCTTAAATATTACTGATAATGAAATCAAAAATAAATCCATAAACCCAAAAAGGTAAGCTTGCTAGTTTTTCTTCGATTTCAAAACTATAACGGTGTAATATCTTACTAGCTGGTATAGCGAATCGCAAGCGTGAATCATTTTCATCTATTCGCAGCGTCCTGCCAGTAATACGAGCATAAAATTCATAGCATTCGCGGGGGAAAAGGCTCGCATAACCAAAATTTTGAATAATTCTTGAAATAATTTCGGATGCAATTTTGAATCTCAACACATCCTCTATTTTTGCCTCAAAAAGTAGATTGTTAACACAATGAAAAGCAAATTTTTATAAAAAAATAATTTAAAAAATTGGAAATTAGATTCTACTAGAGCTGTATTTTATGTTTAAATGTAAACACTTTTTTCTAATTAGAGTTGAAAAAAACTCAAATGTAGCAAAAAATTCCCAGTGAAAACTCTAGACACGACAAACAATAATATTTATATAACATCAGAAAGTTGGAAAATAGCCAATACTTAGAGTTGAACTAAAAATGACAAAAAATAAAAATATAGGTACCCGTTGTCCATTATGAATACAAGAGTGGAAAAGTGAAGGTGCAACAGAAATTCCAAGTGCTTCCGCCGTCATTCTTGAACCGAACGAATCGGCAGATTCTGAGATCAAATAAAAAGTGCCAAAAAGTAAAACAAGTAGATGTTGCGATGGTACTGATAAACTGCTTATTACTCTGAAATCGAAATTTTTAAATGTATTGCACGTTACAACGGCAGTATTATATCAATAAAAATTATGCAGTAAAGTACATAGTGTATATGATATCTCGATCAGATCACTCATTTGAGTGATAAGCGGATGACATACGCTCTAAACCTGGAACCTTCCAGCAACGAAATTTTTATTCATCTGCTCAAATCAAAGAGACTATTAATGTAGTTACAAAAATGTACTTAAAACGGCAAAAAATCATCGTAAGTGTAACTCATGCTTGGCACTACAAAAAAACAAAACCCACCTACAAAATGACTGTCTCTGCAATTCTGGATCCGACAAATTATACAAATCAAAGAGCTTTTGTTCGTTTTCGAGGCCAAATATACCCCCAGGTAACTTCGATAGAAACTTCTAAAATGAAACACACAACAAATGTTTTCATCTGAATATGAATCAAGACTAATCGATATTTTATTAATGTCTTGATTCACATTTGGATGAACACTGCTTTCACCTTGATGACAGATGCAGAAGTTAAACAATAATTATCCGATACTGTAGAATGATCTTTACATGAACACAGACTAATAGGTTACACAGGCAAGTCAAATAAAGTGAGATGAAAAGGAAGATAGGGCTCAATATCTAATGATTAAACACTTCGCACAGTGATTTTTAAATTTTAAAAGTAAACAATAATAGTTATGCTGTATGCTGCATCTTGTCCCTTATTTGAATGTACTATTTATTTTTATAGTAACATGTTACTTTTCTCTCAGTAAATAAAAACTGATCATTGCCACTTAGTAAAAAAATTTACTTATTATATGTCAATCAGATATAAATTCACCTTGATAACAGACGCAGCAGTGTAGACACTGAAATTGGCAATATTTACAAGCCTTCCATGTTGCATGATATGTGACAGCTTCCGTACTTGAGCTTGATTACCTGGTGCCCGCCAGATATCTTTTTTTGTGGGACCATCCTTATGCACTTTTAACAATAACACCTGAAAATAATCTCAATTTGACTGTGAAAAAGGGCACTAAACATTTTTTACTGGCGAAAGCTTTTACTGATGAAGATTTTGCTAGACTTCTGATTTTTAAACAAAGAAAGAAATACAGTTTCACCACATTTACTTTGTAATAGAAAAAAGTGAAAATCCAAGTCTAGTATGATGAATCTAACCATTTGAAATAGAAAAATTTTCTACGGTCGCCGATGTTTTTGAAATTTCTAGCCTCAAAAACTAAACACATAAATGAAATCTATTTTAATCAGAAGTCAAACAGGAGTGAGCTATTTACTCAATCTTAGAAAATTAGAGTATTTTGGAGTATTTGTGTCATAACTTACTAATAAGGTGGCAGGAATATCATGTGCGAAAGCTTCCTCGATTGGTACACCAAATTTTACCCTGAAATATCTTAAAATTAATTCGAAAAAACTTGATTAGCAGGGAAATATCATTAAATAGCAGACTCAAAAAAGCAGTTGATTTAAATGTGTGAGAAAAAAGATGACAAAGTGAAAGTGGAACTATATTTATCATATTCACAAAGTAAAAGTACTAAAAATATGCATTACTTTTGGATGGCTATCCTTACCTTCTTCATTTCTTCAGATGAAAGACTACGTAAAAAATGCTTTATGATTACTCATGAATTCTTAAAAAGAGAAGAACTTATAAAGGTTGTAACTATAAATATAGAACTTTAATTGTCGATTTAGAGAAATTTTTTAGTCTTTCTTGCATTAAAATGAATACTTCACCAGAAATTAAAATTTAAAAATTTATATTTTATGTTTAAACAAAAAAGTTGCATATATCTTTCAGCTAACAAACAAAGATATTTAAATTTGGGAGAGTTTAATTTTCTAATTCAATAAATTTTAATGTGCAGAAAGTTGAAAACAACGATTGGCTTTCTGGCAACTGAACGATGAATCTGAAACACAACAAACTATGCTGATATAAATCGAAAAATTTAACAAAGTAAAGAACCAAGACTCACTTTTCGATTCGTCCTCGATACCTATGACGCGGATCGTCACTATTGCCACAAATTACCATTGTGTAACCCAATGTGGCTACAGTCATACCGCTTTCATACAGTTTGTAGCGGTATGCAACCAGGAGTCGTTCTCTTTTCGAATAGATATCTGATACGCAAAAAATGTATCCGTTTTTACAGCAATGGTGACTACCACCTAGTGCTTTTACAAATTAGGCAGACCCACTGACAAGCAAAAACGAGCAGGTTTTAGTCCTTGTACAAACTTTAAACCAATAAATATTTTAACGATCAAATTGGATCGACAAAAATATTAATTGCTTGATTATGAGAGAATCAGCAACCAACACAATAAACATTTAATATTCAATAACAAAAATAGAAAATAAAAATCATCAGTTGTCGTTTTCGAGCAGTGACGAAAAGATATGAACAATCTCAGTACTTCGAAATATCTAGAAAAACAGCACATTTTACCATTATTATGTAAATTATTGAACAATGCATACAATACATACTATGAAGAACTATAAATCCTCTGAAATGGAAGAATTAGAACGTATGGATAGTGCATTTATAACTGAAGCGTTCTATTCATTCAGAAAAATAAACAACGCACATATGAGAGAAAGTATACATAAAATATCAATATTTTAAGTAAAAAAGGCGAAATTCAGTTTCACCTACGCATACGTCGTAAGAATAATCAAAAATTACCATATCTTATACAAAAAAATGTGAATTAATATTAAACTTGAAAAGCATAGTTGAGTTACGATCAAAAATAAACTCATAAGTGCAAATGATATAAAGATTGAAAAAAATGTAATCCAATGTATTACTAACGAAGAAGACAAAATGATTTACTGAAAGTGTTGTTGTTTTGGATAACAAATTTTGTTAAAGTAACATAGTAACATACATACCAGTGATAACATTCTACTCAAAATGATTAAATGCTAAATCTGTAACAAACGCAGTATTCTTATTTTTTTTTCATCCCATCCCACCGCATGCCGTAGATGAATTTTACAAAATTATTCAGACTCAGAGACATGACAGACGGGTGTCGAACAATGCGTACAGTCTAGGATTTGGAGGTGCAGCAGATGCTTGTTAGTTTATTGTTGTCATATTATTATTGTTATTATTATTATTATTATTATTAACTATTATTATCATTATCATTATATTATTGTTATTATTATATTATTGTTATTATTATTGTATTATTATTATTATATTATTGTTATTATCATTATTGTTCTTGGGTACACACTACTGTAACTAAAATTATGTGTAATATTTACATTGTTATTGCTAATACTTGCAATAAAGATTGCTCTTATTCGTGATACTTGAATGATTTTGTAGAAAACATTTATCTTTACAATAAATGAAAGAAATAGTTTACTTTAAATATATAATCACTGAACTTTACTATAAATGATGCCATTATCAACTGCAGCGTTTATTCTGTTATTAAATGTGTTATTCGCTTTCAAAAATAACTAATTTTAATAAATTAAATATTTAATCTAATTATCTGACTATCTCAAGTAAATGTAGTCATTGCATGCATTATTTTACCGTAATATCTTAATTAGGAATATTGCACTTTATGGTATTGTGCACTGTGTAAGCCGCACAACACTATGCACGCTTCATATCATAAATGAAATTTATAGTATTATGTTCGCACAGAACAGTTAATATATATGTCAAAGGAAGAAAATTAATGATAATGACAAAAGTTAATAAATAAATAATGATAATAGTAATAATAATTATTTCTATTATTATAGTACTTATAAGCAACATAAAAGTACGATTGATGAATGCGTGAGAACAGTACAAATATTTACACAGTATTATGGTTTATGAGGAAAGTGACCATGCAAGTGCATTTGTACTATTTTTATTGTTAAATGATGATGTAAGTTGGATGATAGACGAATAGACGCATATATAACATAACGACGTTTTCAAGCCAACTTTGAGGTCCTCATAACATTACATTTACATTTTTTTGCAAATGCTGCTGACCATTTTCATCTTTTTTTCAATTTCAGGTGAATTAATTAACTGATTTTCTTCTTACAAAAGAATAGCTAGTTGCTGCTTGTTAATATCAAATAATACTTTTTTTTTTGTAAAAATTCTGAACAGTTAATGATGTAGTTTTTTTCAATGCATAACATCACCTCATCATTTCAAATGTTATGAGTTAGATGAAGTCCTATTACCAAAAGTTCAGGAATACTGAAGTAACTAATGTTATTAGCATCCAAAATACCATGAAAGATCATGATTGCAACATGCATGGTGGTGATATTCGCAGTTTTTAATAATCATTTCTCTATAGTAAGTGTAGCTTGTTTTAATAAATAATGTGCATCTAAAGAAAGGAAAAATTTTGTCTACTATTCTTGGTTTAAGGCAAGTTAAAAGACTGATTAATTTGTCGTAAACTTTGTTCAGTATATCGGAGGAAACAGATTAAAATGTGAGATAATTGTGGGGTTTTTTCGTTCTTATTTTCAACGTTTGTAATTTTCTGTAGATGTACGTATATGCATGTTTTGTCTTCACTCTTTCTCATTTCTGAGGCATTTACTCTGCATCTTCAATGTTTGTTTGAGAGACAAAGCGCTGAAATTGGTGATATTAGGTATTGAAATGGTGCATATATACAAGTAGTGATGATTGTATTGTTATTAGCATTGGTTCAATCGAAAGATTATCGACAAGGAATTGTCAAATGATTGTGTTAGGACTATAGTGAAAAGAGGTAAGTCAAAGAGGAATTTCAGCTGCTCATTTATTTTATATTAAAGAAGATTGTTAATGTCAATTAAAAAAACTGGCTTGAATGATTTCGGCTGTTTTCTGATTAGTGCAAATTTGTATTTATGAACTAATCAGACTTCTAAATTAAATTTGAATGATTGGAAAAGAAATGAAATATTAAACTTAGCAGTTTAATACAGCAAAAAAGTCAGCATTTAATTTAGTTTGTTTTGGATAAGAATTAACTTTTGTTCTGTAGAGAAAAAAAATAACTAAGTTATAAGTTCTATTTCCAATTAACTTACAGTTCCAATTTAAAGTGCGAAGAAATTACAACCATAAAACTTACCAAAACATATGACTGGTGAATTTACTGACCATTACTACTAGAAGTAATGAAAAGTGATTGTAGTTTATTGGAAAAAAGAAACTGGTCATCATTCATATGTTGATGATAATAGTGATAAATGGTTTGGGGTTCGTCACTGATTGTACAAATTTTAATTACCATTTCAGTTCACTTTATACCTTCATAGATATCTTGAAAACCGTGAATTGTTAGCAATGTTTCATGACAATTCATATCATATATATCATCCTATTAAAGTAAATACATGACGTGAAATTTCGGTCATGGTGCTGACTTATTTGATATTGATATAAAGTAGGTTTCAGTCAGTTTGTATTTTATTAGGGTGGTAATTCTTTAGAGAAGGCTAATGTAGATGAATTAAGTAAGCAAACAAGAGATAATAGTATTTTCTCTAGAAGACTAAAGTTTATTATATCTGTGGATTTTGCAGACAGAAGTTTGAATAAAAACTTTCAATGAACAAAGAATCAAAGTTTGCTTGCTGTGATCTATTATGAATACTCTTTGCCTGAAGCAGAAAGACGTTTCTAATTGCATGATTCAACACACACAAGTACCGAATAATATTTTTAAATCCAAATAAACTTTGCTGAGATTATAAGTGAGAATGAGAAACTTACATAATGAAACAAATATTAGTGTTCGTAATAGTAGTAGCAGTGATGCCAATTTTACTGAGATCAAATTTACTAAATAATTCTGGAGGATATCTTTAATATACGACGAGAAAATTGTATTATTACAGGTACTGTTTTTTCATAGTACTCTCTTAAAAAGAGCATGGAGCATTGTTTTTCAATGTATCAGCAACGTTAGTTGATTAATGTGATTATAACGCGAGAAGAATTTAATTCTTCGTTCATAGCACGTAACAGTTGGATAATTTATGTAATAGTTTTGCGAACTGAAAAGTTATGAATTATAATAGAATGAACAGAAGGGAACATTGAAAATCTTCCATACTTGCAAGCAAATAAAAATAAATCTATAATATGAAAATTGTTTATATGGTGATGGATTTTCCTTTGGCTATTGAAGCCAGTCCATTTCTAAAGCATTGTGGTTTCTAGAACCAAACGTTGGAGTGATTATATAATGATGGAAATAGTTTGAAGTCGACAAACATAGTGTTCTACTGAGAAAGTGGTGATTTGTATGAAAAATGCAAAAGAAAATGACATTCATAGCATATATTTCTTGTGCTGACTGATGAATTCAAAAAGGAATTATTAATAAAAGCTATTACCAAAGACGAATTAAATTGAAGAAATTGGTTTGGGCGGAAAAAGCATTTTGAGCCTCATCAAAGAATGAATTATTTTGAAAATGGAAATAAATTACATCAATGAAAGTCTCTTGACATAGAAGTTAAATTTAATGGAAACATCAAGTTTAGATGAAAAACTAGTTCAGTAATAGGATCTTGAAATTGAAAATGATTTGCAAAATGTAAGAACAATTTTTTTGCTCTAGAAATATTCAACTCAATGTGTAGATTTCTGGGAATCTGTGCCGTATTTTCAGTCTTTTCGTATAATACAAAACCTAAGTTTGATAAGTTATGTGAGCCTATTATTGGAAGTTGTATCGTAATTAGTATTTTTTTCTTTTTGTCAACTGAACTGTTGCAGTCATTTAGTTGATTAGCTGTGTGAAAAATAATTTCGCATGGCAGAATAAATATTATGCATTGCATTGGTGATATTTCAATCAAATAATCGAAATTTAAGTGCAAAGGAGAAGAAATGAAGCAGGCTGCATAATTTGCATATCAATAATGAAAAGAGATTTAACGACATGATAATCGTATTCGTAAGGGTGATATGTTTGTTGGTGAAGACCTCCTTGAAAATGATAATTACATTACATCAAATCATGCAACTACTATTGGCTGGCATAATATATGCTCAGTAGATCACACTA